TAGTTCGTGTAAGATCGGGGAAAAAATTTCACCGAGGAGCCAAACCCAAAAGGGATATTTCACGGTGGGGAAAACCACGAGTGAAATATGAAAATTTTGGTGTTCACAAAGGGGAAAAATAAATTTCGATCTTACACTTTAAAATAAACAAATTTTTTTTTATTATATGGGAAAGAAACGTTTTAAAAAAAAATTAAACCTAATCTGAATGAAAGCCGCCAAATAAAAATCAATGTGACCATTTTTCGACGTACTCATTAAGTTGGACCCCGGGCTGTGCACCCGGTATTTCCTAAAAAACGTAAGGGGGTTTAAATTTTAAACAGTGAAATTAAACAAAGTGGTAATTTCACTGTTTCAAAAAGTAAATTTCCAGTTTTATATCACTGATATATTTCTATAAAACCACCGAAAAAAAAAGTAAAAATTTATAATCATGTGTTCGTAAATATAGCCGATAAACGTATTATATAATGAATTTTAATATAACATGGTTACAGTAAAAATAAATAAACGTATTAGATATGAATGATAATATAAAATGGTTACAGTAAAAAATAACCCATAAAAAGTAGTTGATATGAATGTTAAAAATAAATGTGTTTCGTAAATATAACCGATAAAAAGTTTTATATAAAGAATGTTTAAAAAACATGTTTACAGTAAAAAAAAACCAAAAACGTAGTATGATTGAAAAATATAATTGACATGTGTTACAGTAAAATTTATATGGTTTCCGTGAAATAACCATAATGTTAAAAAATATTTCATTATATAAAACTTTATCGGTTAGCCTACATTTTCTTAACAATTTATATTATACATTTTTTTTATAAACGTTTATGATTATTTTACTTTAACACATGTTTAATTTTAAAATTCATTATATAATACTTATCGGTTTATTTTCTGTAAAAAAATGTTATATTATACATTCATTTAAAAAATACTTTATCGGGTTTCATTTCTTAAAAATGTTTATTTTTTCATTTTTTAAAAGCTTCTTTTTCGGGTTTTTTTTCTGTAACACAGTTATTTATAATTATTTTATAAAACTTTCGGTTTTTAATTTACTATAACAATTATATTATACTTTTTTTATATAAACGTTTATCGGTTATATTACTGTAAACATTTAATTATACATTCATTATATAAACGTTTTTCGGTTATTTATGTAAAAAATTTATATTATACATTCATTAATAATCGTTTTTTTTGGTTAATTTTACGAAAATGTTATTTATAATTATATAAATACGTTTTCGTTACATTACTGTAAACTGTTATTAAAATTCATTATTAATCGTTTATCTTTTTTTTTACAGAAATACATAAATTTTTGTGGAACATTTAAAATGTATGGCACCATTAATTAACTCTTTTTTGGGTTTCTTTTACAGTAAAAAATGAATATATAAAATAGCGTATCTTTATTCAAAAATTACATCGTTTATGGGTTTTAATGGTACAGTAAACAACAAAAAAGGGAAGAGAAAAAAAAATTGACCACAATTTGTAAACAGGTCGCTTTTAAATTTCATTGATTTCTATTCTTACATTCAGAAATAGATGTATTATAAAATTATTTATGAATTTTACAAGATGGAGAGAGTTTAAATTGTGTATTTTAAAAATTTATTTGGGTTTTTGAAATTAGGTAATTTTTAATTATTCCCTAAAAACAATTCTGAAATGTTTTAAAATTACTAATTTTTTGCACCCTTGCTTTAAATGAATTTCGAAAATTTCTATTTTAAATAATAAATTCCGGGCCCTTTTTCATTTCATTTTTTAATTTTTGTATTACAGTTATTTTAGCATTTAGTTGTTAAATTTTTTAAAAGAAAAATTTTACAAAAATATTTGAATTTAAAAGGGGCGTTTGTCAAAACAAAATCATAGGGCAAATTTAAAAAAATATTTCTGTTAAATGCTTATTGAAAGTTTTGGTTTTGTTTTTAAAGCCACATTTAAAAATTTGGTTTTAATTTTTTTCAACGATGGGATTTTTTCATGGTTTTTTAAAAAGAAAAATCAAACATCACCAAAGAGAGAGAGAGGTTGGTGCGAAAAAAGTAATCTCTTTTTTATAATATTAAATTTTTTTCAAATGATATTTAAAAACTAAATGTTTGTTAATCTAATAATGACGAAAAAAAAAAATTGACAAAAAAAAGAATTAGTCAGTAACTTCTTTATTTACCGTGCTAATGTTCTCAATGCAGCATGAATAAAATATAAAATGACTATGTTTTTTTTATAAGTTTATAAGCTTATTTTTAAAATGAACTCAGTGTGTGTTTGGCCAACCATGAAAAATAAAATAAATAATAATAAAAAAATTGTAAATTTAAATAAATGTATTTATTGTGCTATGAATTAAGTTTGCAGGTAATCTACTCACTGTAACTTGTTTGGCTTATACATGTATTGCCATTTTTATGGGGATTTTTTTTGTTATAATTTGAAAACTTAGTCATACTTTAAAAAGCAAAACCCCACGGTAATTGGTTCGGTAAACATTGTTTTTCCCAAAAAAAATTTTTTAAAATTTTAAATGATCTAAAAATGTGTTATTCTTTGGGTTAAACAGTGTCAAAAAACAAATTATAAATTTTTTCACAAATTAGTCACGACATTGGGGTTTGGGGGGCTAAAAATAAAATGTATATTTCAATCCAGCATTTTATTTATAAATTATTTTAAAAAACAAATAAAACCCTTTTGAAAAGAATTTGAATTAAATCATGAAACTTTTCCCTTCAGGGGTCATTTAAATATTTAAGCAACTAAAAATAAATTTTGAAAAAAATATGGAAAAAAATTACAAGGCGTTTTATTTTAAATTTGAAAATTTAACTTATTTTTGCCTTTTCAGGCAAGCGTACCCTAAAAAATAAAAAATAGGATAAGGGTAGTACAAGAGAAAAGACTTAAATCCCCAAAAACAAGCGGGTGGTCCGTAAAATTACTACACAGAGACAAATATCAAATTTTTAATGGAAAAAACCGTGACGAAAACTCTTGCAAAAAAAGAGTGGAAACAGAATTGAAGAACTATTAACAACTATAAAGAGGGGAAAAGATTTCATTTAACAACAGACCCTGAAAGAATATTGGGTTATATAGTTTACAATATCAGTTTTTTAAATTTTGATATAATTTACACATTTTTTTCGGAGAAAAATAATGTCGGCGCTGTTTAAATAAAACTATTTGTTGAATTTTAAAGATAAAAATAAAAAAAAACTTACATTTTTTGGTATATCTTTTGAAATATTGATGATGTTTTTCTACAAAGGGGTATAACTTGTTTTTTTTAGATAGGGGTTTGTATACAAACCTGTATTCATTTAGCCAGTAAAAATAGTGAAATTTTTCTCTAGTTTGCTTTGGGAAAAATTTTATAAAAATGTTTCTTCAGATATAGCTATTACCTTTTAACATTTTGTTGTTTTTGTTTTTCGGGTTAAAGGTTTGGGTTTTGGTGGTTGTTGGTGTGATGGCCCAAAATTTTTAAAATTTGCGCCCCCCAGAAATTGTTTGCGAAAAAACGCAAGAATGATATCGTGCAATGCCCGGGATGGAAAAATATTTTGAAATATGTTTAAAAGTGTAAATTTCGCTTTCTGTACTTATACTTCATTTTAAACAAGGGAAATTCACTTTATATAAATATTAAAAAAAACTTTCAAAACAATTTCATAATTCATTTTCATTTACCCTTCGAATTAGGAATGTTGTTAAAGGCCCCCTCAGCCCTTATGAAAAATCTATTTTCATTCCTCAAAGTTTTTTTTATATATTTTCGGTGTGTTTTTACTTTTCCCAAAAAATTAAACAATATCTAAACTCTTTTTCATCCCTTTCCTTTGGTGGGTTTTTACTAAAAACATTTGTATACAATTTTGTATGGAGTTTTAAAAAAGTTTTTTAACATTTTGGTACCCCCCTCAAGAAAATAATTTTTTATTCGCAATATTTCCCAAAAAAGATTAAGTATGCCTAAATCCTCATAAGAAATCATAAAAAACATTTTTTTTTTCTACAGAAGAAAAATATTTTCATTTATTCTGAGCCATTGGGTGTTTTATTGATTCTTATTGATTTTTTTGAAAAAATTGTGCAATTATCGTAAAAATCTTAAAGATTCCCGTTTTTTTTACCCATTACCCTAAAAGAGAAAATTTTTGTTATGATTGTTTTTTCCCCATTTTCTACTAAACATTCTAAAAGTTACATTATATTTTATCAAATTCATTCCAGTTGTCACATTTCAGGAATGCCGTTGTCATGGATCATTTCATGATCGTCCAAAAAACTCATTATTTTGGGATGTTTTTTTTCTGTGTGTTTCTTATTTTTAGAAAAAGCCTTGTTTCATCTGTTTGATCTTTTTGTAATTATTTTATGATATTTTAGGAAGTTAAAATCAACAAATATTTGATGAGTATTGACTTATACCTCCGGATGTTTTTTTTGTGTTATTGGCCTGTTGAAAAGTGATCTTAAATAATTTTAGGTATTATGTTTTAAATTTTTAATTGCCTGAGTTTTATCTGCATTTTAAAAATTTTTATTTTTGGTCACCCTCGGATTTTTTTTTTGCCGTCAAAAAAAAAATATATAAATTTAAATAACGCAGTGTTTGTCTGTCACCATTTAGTATATTTTTACAAAAAACAGGTAAGGTAAAAAAGTAAATTCTTTTTTTATTTACACATTAAAACTAAAAAATAGTATAAAACCCTTTTTTTTAATTTTTTAAATTTTTGTACCTGATCAAGGACAGATGATAATGATGATGATGATAACTAGAAAATTAAGACGAACAGGTTTTCAATAAAAAAAATAAATAAAAATAAATAAATAAAAATAATAAATAAATAAATAAAAATAAATAGATCAATCAATCAATCAATCAATCAATCAATCAATCAATCAATCAATCAACCAATCAATCAATATATTTCTTCTGTACTCTTTAATTATGTACATTCTTCTTTTTTTCTTCTGATTTTTGGTTTGTTTTTATGTGAATTACAAACCACATCGTGACTTTAGAACATAGCCCTAACACAACTATATATATTTACAGCTGATACGTTCATATTGAACGGGGCTAGAAATGACGTCGTGCGCAATATGTACAACTTGAAAAATAATACAGAAAACGTCTTGCAAAAGGAAATATTGGAAACAGGTTCACAGTTTGGAGAGAGAAATGTACACAAGAAAATACCTGCATTAAAAGATGCCACATTAGCAATAGAAGAATTACTTCACAAATTGAAAGCTGCACAAAGATCTTACTCAAACAAAAATAGTGGTCGCTTAAGAAGGTATACAGTTCATTTTAAATTTTTCAACCGATTTCCGTTATAAACTAAACAGAGCCGAGAAATTTATTTTCATGTCGAGAATGAATAATGTATAGAACCATGGATTAAGCTTGTTTTCCCCTCATTTAACACAATTTAAATATATACTATGCTCATCTTTGGGTAAAATACTTTTATTGTATAAATTTATTGAAATCTAGTAGATTCTTCTACTATTACTTTAATCTGTTTATTTTTCTCTTGCGTCTGACAAGGTTCGCAGTGGTAAATGAAGAAAAAGTATGAGACGAAATTAAAAATAAGGGAAATTTTAATATTCTAATAGCCTTTTAAAAGTTTTTATCTCTTGTTATATAAAGGAGTTGAATTTCTTTGAATTCAGACTAAACATTTCAATCTTGTTTTCATATATCAAGGACAGTTAACCAAAACGGATGGTGGTGGTTTTGTCCCTGGTGTGGCGGAAGTAAAGTCATTATCACAGATGATTGTAAATGCAGTCCAAACACGAACAATTCGTGCAACTGTCCAAATGCACGTGTACGTAATGGTGATTTGAGTAATAATTGATGATACAGGTAGAATTCGACATTGTGAGATTTTAGTACAAATTTTCAGTTCAATTTCTATAACTCGGGGTTTCCTGTGGACAATGAAGTAAAATTTCAGCTTATACATGTACATGCTAAATAAATGCATTAAAGAATAGTCTATTAACTTAGAAAGAGTTGTTATGTGATTGATATATCTCGTTTGACGAACTTGTATGTCATTTGCTCCGAAAGTATTTCTTTCTTATTTCAAAACTTTTAGTCAGACACATGGAGGGAAATAACTTTCTATTCATAATCACCAATATCTACATGAGTTGTATCCCTTTAATTGAAAAAAGTAACGCATCATGACCTGGTACGGATGATAACAACACGGTCATCTTGTTGCGGATGCGCAGGCTGGTCTGGATCCATGCTGGTCGCAAACCCATTATGTAGGTTTTGTCGTGACACGGCTCATTTATCGGATTGCACAGTTTTTAGATATCCAACATTTGTATGAAACAGGACTGTTCATTTGTGTTGAACAGAACAGCGTTCTCAAGTGTCTGTACAAATCTCCTTTCAAAACCCGACCTGTAATACGAGACTTCACTAAAATGTGTGTATTTTCCGGAAATTGAATAATGACTGAATTTTATCTATATATTGCAAACCCAAACACACCTCATATTTCATGTGTGATTTATGAGTGACTATATCAAATGAATATTGTAACGTGCTCCACATTCAAGACAATACACTTTGCGTTCTGTATGATTCCGCTTTGCCTGGTTTGATTGCTAATTACTAAAGCCTACTAGAATACAAATATTGGCATTGTTACTGAAATTAGGTATATAGAATAAGACAGAATGAAATGAATGTAAAACAATCCTTTAGAAATAAGCTAAACTAATGTAGTATTTTACTTACTATAGGATATTGTTTAGTTATAAATTAGATATACATGTATGCTTAAGAATATGAAATATGTATGGCACCTGAGATCTTCCTCTACCAGTAAAGTAAGAAAGTCGCCATATGACCTATACTGTGTTTGTGCAACATAAAACCCAACAAACAAACAAAAATTCAGCCATTGCTCTTAACTTTACATGCTGAGTTTGTGGAATGGATGTTCCCTGTTATAAAACTTGAACAATCCATTTGAATTATGAAGAATTCATTAACAAAATACAAAAGGGATCAATTTAAATGATAAACGTTTTTATTCCTCAGTTGCGTCCGTCGTATCATGTGGGAGGTAAAATCCAATTCAACTGAGATTAAAAAGCCTAAAACATAATTTTGATATTTTTTTTACATAAATCAAGTGGAGCATTTAAAATGGAAAAAATCTGTACAAAATAAATATTGTCAGAGTTGAATTGCAAATCTGTATGTGTGCGCTTCTTAGCCCGATTTATGTGAAAAATGTTGCAACGCTTTTCAATTTTGGGCTATTTTGTACAAAGAAAAAGATTATTCTAAAAAAGCGGTGTGAGAGAATGATCTAAAAATTTGAACACAAGTTATTGATTCAGACCAATATCAAATGGTATACAAATCATGAAAAAATAATTTCAGTGCCGGCATGGCGGAGTCCCTGTAAGGATAACAGACCCTAATGGGCACCAATGTTAATCAGCTTGTTCTATTCTTTTCTAAATAAAATAAAACATTTCATTTTTCAAACATGCCACACCCTCTCTTATCATTTTTGGCCAATTTTCAATCACCAATATTTAGAGGAATTAATTTGCATATGAAATAATTTTTGGTAGATATTACTTTTGTTTTTATTTTCATTTTCATTTTGAACCAATACATTTTTACAAAGTGACTTACAGTAACAAATGACCATAGCTTTCAACAATAACCATCTTAAATAAATGCACGCATACAGTAAATATATATAGGACCAAATCTTAATTGACAAATGGAACAGCTGTTATTGTTTGATAATGTTGTTTAGTGTGTGTATTTTTATTGTTTAGAATGCTATATCTAAAATTAAGATATGTTATTTGTGGTTTATGAGGGTGTTTCATCATGTGTTACCTTCTTTAAGTAATTATTATTATTATTATTATTATTATTAGTGTTGTTGTTGTTATTGCAGTAAAACAGACTTCCCTTTGCACAGGCTCACGAATAATACTTACAAACAGTGAACTTGTGTCGAAAATATTAAACACTTAAATAAAAAAATATCTGCAGATAAATATATATGTAAACAAGTTGTAAAAATATAAAACACTTTTACGAACTTTACGAAGTTTTTGCTATAGCAGCTTGATACATACTTTTTTTGCTTGGTCAGAGTTTCTAACTTGCGTTATAAAACATCATTTATATACCTTTTTCTATTTTTTTAACACAATCATTCTTTTTTTTACACACATTGGCTTATTCCTTAAGAAAAAATGTTAACATCACTAATAAAGACACTAAAAAAATTCAGTTGTTTGGACCGGGATTCGAACGCCGAACGCTTATACCCTAACTTTGGTCCACGAACTTCCAATTTCAGGTAAGGAAAAAGTCAGAAGCAAACCAAACGATTCTTTATTTAGAATTTTAATTAAACTAAAGTGATAAAAGTACACAAATCCACATTATAATCACTATTCCGTGTAAGTGGGAAGCTCCTTTGTTTTTGCACTGTATATTTGGGGGCATACTAACATTTCAAAAGAGAGAGAAATGTGCCCAGATTTACGAATATTATAATGTATCTAAATTTTAAATATTGAATTAGTATTTTTAGATCCATAGTGTAAGCCTGAACAATAATTTTTCTCCAACTACAACACATGTATCGTAATTCATACATTGTACTGCATATTTCTCATTCTCTACCTCCAATGTTGTCGTGTGCCACCATTTTTATATAAATGTTTATGTTTTTTTTAAACTCAGCACAAATGTTACAATTATATAGTAGAATATAGATGTAGTCATTTTTTCACTACCCTCAGGTCACCATCATCTCTTAGCGCTTGCAAGTAGAAGTTGTGTCAATGCTGAAATATATATACAAAATATTTTTATTACATGTTGCTTATATCACGCTTATACAAATGTGACATGCCACTGAATATTTCCTTTAATTGCAACTGAAGTTGTTTAAAAGCATTGTTTGAACGGGAATATAAACGGTTTACACATGTCTTTACGTTTAAATGATCACATTTTTCAAAATAAGCAACAATATTTGGGATGAATAGAGAAAAAAAGAGGACTGTTAATGGATGGTACTTGAAAATGCGAGCTACCGTCTAGCACCGGCATAAGCAGAATTTAACATTTAAAATTTTATTAGCAGCTTCAGATGAGACTTTCTAAGCAAGATGAAGTGTAGTGGTCATGTTTTAGTTTTTACTAGATTTCTTCTCAATAAAACAATTTTCTAATTCTAAATTGGCGCTTATCTGGACCTTGTCCCTACAAAAGAGTTGCTGATATCGGTTTAACACCGGAAACAAATACATAATGTTTTTTTTAAAGAATTCTTTATCCAAATACACCATCAACAGCTGTAAAAGGATACACGCGTGTTCGATTAGATCATTATGCCTGAACATGACATTCGTTTCAACAAAATCAATACCATTGGTAAGAGGGGCTAATTGTTTGGTCCCACTTCCAAAAAACATGCCATCGGCAATTTTGAAAAAGATTTTTTCTCTCCCTATGGCTCTCAAAGAGGTTTTTTACGACGTTACAAACGCAGTTCCATGCGAAATGGTATTATTAGGCATCCGAGACGGTCTGATGAGTGAAGCTTCGTCTTTGATCAAGAAACCTCTTGGCTAATGTCCCCAACATTAAGGAAAGGCACCCCGATGCTCGGAAAAGCTTCGGGTACTGTTTTTGATAAAAGCCGAAATTTCTTGCCCGAAGAAAAAGAATATTAGTGAGGCCGACCAGATAGATACAATTTTATATATACATTTGTAATTATTACATTTTCGTTATTTGGTACCATTATATGTTCAGTATTCTTTGACGGTTGTTACCTTCATGTGAGCCTTACTTTATTATATATATTATAAATGAACATATTATATCATTGTCAACACTAATATCACATCTTGCATATGTATAAACATACTTGTGTAATTCAGTTGGCCGTCTGCATCAAGGTCAGCTTCTTGTAGTAAATCATCAATTTCTTTTTCATTCATCTTTTCTCCGAGGTTCAGTAGCACGTGCTTTAACTGTTTAGCATCTAAATAGCCTGAACCTTCTCGATCAAATACCTTGATAATAATAATAATGATAAAGATTATAATAGAAAGTAATAATGATATAAAAAAACAACAACAAGACTTTTTAATCTTCTATGAAAAATATTAAGGTCTACATTCCCAGTTGCTTTTGTACATTTGTACCAAATTTATCGCTTTTGCCAATATAAAATTCTATACGTACAGTACAAGCAGATTTTGACTCTGAAGTTTGAATTGCGTTTATACCGCCCTGCATTTACAGAAACGGTGAATAACAATCCAGTGCTTACTTTAAACGCATCAATTATATCTTCTTCAGTATTTACAGGCTTCCAGAACTTGACTACTGTTGAAACGAAGTCCTTTTCATCAACAAAACCACTACCTAGAAAATTAAAAGAAAAACAAAAACATAAAACAACAACAATGAAATATAATTAAATCAGGTGCCTCTCCGTTTTTTTTTTGTTTTTTTTTTTTTCAGGCACAAGTCGCCACCTGAGAACAACGACCAGCGTTCCGTAAACTGGCTGGATAGCTTTTTCACATAGAATAATTAAAGGTGTATAGTTGGAGTTAAACCCATAGTGGTGGTTTGAAGACAATGGCATTAAATGTAGAAAATAACTTCTTGTTTTGTTTTTATTTTTACTTAATAATGAATGTTTTATATGTGACATTCTTGAAAACGTAATGTGGGTCTTGAAAAGCAGCATAATAGCGCTGCCGATCTCGTTTATGCGGGATTTTCAACGCATAAATAGGGTAACCACATTTGTGCGGCAGTGCTCAACACATAAAGCAAAATATGTTCTTATATGTGGCGCAACTGCGCCTTTTGTCACATAAATATAATGATCTTCAACCACTTATCATAATGCTCTAATATTTTAAAAAAGCAATGGTGATGTATTTTGTGATGAATATGACTATAAATATGATAATGATGATGATAATGATGATGATGATGATGATAATGACGACGTCAATAATAATGATGTTACGATGATAATTTTGATGATTGATGTTGTTGTTGATTATGGTGATTATGATGATGGCAAGGATATTGGGTGATGGTATTGGTAATGATGATGGTAATTATAATGGTGTAGGAGATGGTAATGATTATGGTGTTGGCGATGTTGATGATGATGGAAATGATAATGGTGTTGGCGATGGTAATGATGATGGTGTTGGCAATGGTAATGATAATGGTGTTGATGATGATAATTATAATGGTGTTGGAGATGGTTATTATAATGGTGTTTGCGATGTTGATGATGATGGAAATGATAATGGGGTTGGTGATGGTAATGAAAATGGTGTTGGCGATGTTGATGATGATGGAAATGATAATGGTGTTGGCAATGGTAATGATAATGGTGTTGGCGATGTTGATGATGAAGGAAATGATAATGGTGTTAGTGATGATAATGGTGTGGGCGATGGTAATGATAATGGTGTTGGCGATGTTGATGATGAAGGAAATGATAATGGTGTTGGCAATGGTAATGATGATAGTGTTGGTGATGGTAATGACAATGGTGTTGGAGATGACAATTTTAATGGTGTTGGCGATGTTGATGATGATGGTAATGATTATGGTGTTGGCAATGGTAATGATAATGGTGTTGGTGATGGTAATTATAATGGTGTTGGAGATGGTAATTATAATGGTGTTGGTGATGTTGATGATGATGGAAATGATAATGGGGTTGGTGATGGTAATGATAATGGTGTTGGCGATGTTTATGATGATGGAAATGATAATGGTGTTGGCAATGGTAATGATAATGATGTTGGCGATGTTGATGATGAAGGAAGTGATAATGGTGTTGGTGAGGAAAATGGTGTGGGCGATGGTAATGATAATGGTGTTGGCGATGTTGATGATGAAGGAAAATGATTAATGGTGTTGGCAATGGTAATGTGATGATAGTGTTGGTGATGGTTTATGACAATGGTGTTGGAGATGGCAATTTTAATGGTGTTGGCGATGTATGATGATGATGGGAAATGATAATGGTGTTTTGCGATTGGACACAAAAATGGTGTTGGTGATGGAAATTTTAATGGTGTTGGCAGTTGTAATGATGATGTTGTTGGCGATGTTGATGATGATGGAAATGATAATGGTGTTGGCAATGGTAATTATAATGTTGTTGGTGATGGTAATGACAATGGTGTTGGCAAATGTAATGAAGATGGTGTTGCGGATGGAAATGATAATGGTGTTGGTAATGGAAATGATAATGGTGTTGGTGATGGTAATGATAATGGTGTTGATGATGGTAATGATAATGGTGTTGGCGATGGTAATGATAATGGTGTTGATGATGGAAATGATAATGGTGTCGGCAAATGCAATGATGATGGTGTTGCGGATGGAAATGATAATGGTGTTGGCAATGGAAATGATAATGGTGTTGGTGATGGTAATGATAATGGTGTTGATGATGGTAATGATAATGTGTTGGCGATGGTAATGAAAATGGTGTTGATGATGGAAATGATAATGGTGTTGGCAATTATAATGATGATGGTGTTGCGGATGGAAATGATAATGGTGTTGGTAATGAAAATGATAATGGTGTTGGTTATGATGATGTTTGGGACGGTTATGATGATGTTTGTGACGGTTATGATGATGATTGTGACGGTTATGATGATGTTTGTGACGGTTATGATGATGTTTGTGACGGTTATGATGATGATTGTGACGTTATGATGATGTTGTGACGGTTATGATGATGCTTGTGACGGTTATGATGATGATTGTGACGGTTATGATGATGTTGTGACGGTTATGATGATAATTGTGACGGTTAATGATGATGATTGTGATGGTAATGATGATGATTGTGACGGTTTATGATGATGTTTGTGACGGTTATGATGATGATTGTGACGGTAATGATGATGTTTGTGACGGTTATGAATGATGATGATTGTGACGGTAATGATGATGTTGTGACGGTTATGATGATGATTGTGATGGTGATGATGATGTTTGTGACGGTTATTGATGATGTTTGTGACGGTTATGATGATGATTGTGATGTAATTATGATGTTTGTGACGGTTATGATGATGATTGTGACGGTTATGATGATGTTTGTGATGGTTATGATGATGATTGTGACGGTATATGATGATGATTGTGACGGTTATGATGATGATTGTGACGGTTATGATGATGATTGTGACGGTTATGACGATGATTTTGACGGTTATGATGATGTTTGTGACGGTTATGATGATGTTTGTGACGGTTATGATGATGATTGTGACGGTTATGATGATGATTAAGATGGTAATGATGATATTTGTGACGGTTATGATGATGATTGTTGATGGTAATGATGATGATTGTGACGGTTATGATGATGTTTGTGACCGTTATGATGATGTTTGTGACGGTTATGATGATGATTGTGATGGTAATGATGATGTTTGTGACGGTTATGATGATGATAAAGATGGTAATGATGATGTTTGTGACGGTTATGATGATGATTGTGATGGTAATGATGATGATTGTGACGGTTATGATGATGTTTGTGACGGTTATGATGATGATTGTGAGGGTTATGATGATGTTTGTGACGGTTATGATGATGTTTGTGACGGTTATGATGATGATTTTGACGGTAATGACGATGATTGTGACGGTTATGATGATGATTGTGACGGTTATGATGATGATTGTGACGGTTATGATGATGTTTGTGACGGTTATGATGATGTTTGTGATGGTTATGACGATGATTTTGATGGTTATGATGATGATTGTGACGGTTATGACGATGATTGTGACGGTTATGATGATGTTTGTGACGGTTATGATGATGATTGTGACGGTTATGATGATGTTTGTTTGTATGTTTGTGATGGTAATGATGATGTTTGTGACGGTTATGATGATGTTTGTGACGGTTATGATGATGATTGTGACGGTTATGATGATGTTTGTGACGGTTATGATGATGTTTGTGACGGTTATGATGATGATTGTGACGGTTATGATGATGTTTTTGTGACGGTTATGATGATGTTTGTGACGGTTATGATGATGTTTGTGATGGTTATGATGATGTTAGAGGATGATCAGAAATGGTGGTGATGATGGAGGTGGAAATGATGGTGGTAAAAGTGGTTATGGTTGTGGTACTAATGATGACGATAGCTTCCCCATAAAAAAAATCCCTGGCGGGATTCGAACCCACAGCGATGAGGGGCAAGTTATTTGAAGTCAATTATATAGCATATTAAGGAGGAGTGCAGTGCACAAGAATGATAACTCTATCCTGCATAATTTTTCAGTTATTGCCCTTTGTTATTTTTCAAACTTAATTTTTGTCCAGAGCATAACTCAAAAAACCTTTGAGATATCAACATGTAACTTCAGAGGTGGATAGATCTCATTCAGGGGGTGTGCAGTGCGCAAGAATGATAATTCTACCCTTCATATTTTTTGAGTTATTGCCCTTTGTTATTTTTCATACTTAATTTTTCACCTGAGTGGAGCATAACTCAAAAAGTCTTTGAGATGTCAACATGAAACTTCATAGGTGGATAGATCTTATCGATGAGGAATGCTGTGCACAAGATTGATAACTCTACCCTTTATAATGTTTGAGTTATTGCCCTTTGTATTGTTCATACTTTTTGTCTAGAGCTTATCTCAAAAAGTGATAGAGGTATGAACTTGAAACTTCATAGGTGGATAGATCTCATTGAGGAGGAGTGCAGCACACAAGAATGATAATCTACACGGCATTATTTTTCAATTATTGCCCTTTGTTATTTTCAGCCATCAGTATTTGCATAGGTTTCAAATCTGTAATCTCTTCAGCCATCAGTTTTCATTACCAAAAGACCTCTTTAGATTGAATTATTCTGCTCTACTACATAAACATTCTTACAATGAGCAAACACATTCGGCGGGGGCCATGCTAACATGGCTCTTGTAATTATTTATTATACGATCTTCATGTCCTCAACAATTTTTTTTTCAGCAATATTTTACAAGAATATCCAAATGATATATCTACTATTCTATTCCCTTTTTATCAACATTTGAAATATTTGTGAAAAATTGCGCCCATTGCAGACCAATTCACTTTAATACAAATGTAAAAGGTTACTCTTACCTTTTTTGTCGGCGTCTTTGATCATCTTTTTCACATCGTCTTCTGATGGATTAAGCCCAAGTGACCGTACTGCAGTGCCAATTTGTGACGTCTCTATTTTACCTTTGTTACTAATGTCAAACATGAAAAATGCCTCCTTGATCTCTAGCAACAAATATAGAAAAAAAATCAAACTTTATTGATGAGTCAAGTTATTTGGAAACATCGTAACTATATTGGAAATAATTGTAATTGTTAAAACAGGGAAAGTACTTCAGGCCGATTGACTAAGAAAGAAACGTCAAAGAAAGATGTTGCTTGAGAACGAATAATCGTCCATAAAAAGAGCATACTCTCCTTACAGTAGTGCTCATGCATTCAAGTTTATAGTCAGGTTTGATAGGACTTCAACCTAGGTTCGTAAACTATTCTGAACAAAAAGGAAACAGATCGATCGTGTGTACAAACATTCCGCAAAGAAAGAAGAATATAAATACAAGTTACATGAGTAGGAACAAAGAATCAATTTATCTCAGTCTCTTTTTTAGAATATGTATAAACTGTTGTTTTTTTTTCAATTTGATAAAGCAACAGTAAAAAAAATCATCAAATCTCAAATCGTGTAAAAACACGACTCACCTTTCTTCAAATCTTCTGATACTTTGTCAGCCTGTAAAAAAATAATTATTAAAAAAGAAATAAGGCAAAATCGTAACAATTGATATAACGCTAATTCAGAAAATAAAGAGAACGTAAAATCATTGGAATGTAAACGGAAAGGGAAATAGTATGCACCAATGACGAAAGCTGATTACAATCATCGAAAAGATGCTTAAATATTTGGTACTGAAATGGTATTTTAAAACGAGAAAACCTTTGTACAGTTATCAACTAAAAGAAGGAAAGTTTCATTTATAAACAAAGACAGAAAGTGTAAAGGGTTAAGATTATTTATACCACCAAGTACTGGTGATACACGAGGTTGAAAATCAGGAACGTGAAGTCTGACCAGGATTTGTATTGTCGTCTGCTTAATTGCACAAACAATAATGAATAATACAATACAATGCTAAAAAAGGATCTGATCCGAAAGCATAACATGCTATAAAGGCCTTTTCCTAACGAAGGATTAATTACTATAAATTAGACGGTTTTTTTTAAAGATGTTTGAAATATTGAATAAGAAGACAAAATAATTGTCGTCGCATACTTTAGTATTCTAATTTTAAAATCCCTTTAACTGCTGATGGTTCATTTTCTCCTTGAAGCAGGATTTTTTTCCATTTTTCATTCATCAAGATAATGGTTAAGTTAGAGTTCACTTACATCAAATTTGCTGTAACAAATTGTTATCAATTAAAAAATTCAAAGTACTTAATGTTAGTTACCATTTTCTTTACAAACGTTGATTTTATCCTATGTTCAAATATTGATATTCTGAAAGAATCAAGAAAACAACGCAGCTTTAGCCTGAGAAATAGAAAAGAACAACAAAAAGTTAAAAACAACAAAGACTGGCAAAACATCACTGAAAACCAGACAAGATTTATACATGTAATATACATGTATATTGCCACTATGTAATAAGAATACATGTAGATCATTTATCATCTTACTTTTCAACAAAAATAATATATAAAGTAGATCGTTTTTATATTGCATGTACATTGTACTTGTTTACAAATCGATACTGTCATATCATATTAATTTGTTTACAAAGGTTTCCAGTAAACATAATTGTGTTGTTTGTATTTATAATAATGTATTGTTTGTATTTATAATAATGTATTGTTTGTATTTATAATAATGTATTGTTTGTATTTATAATAATTTATTGTTTGTATTTATAATAATATTACGATTCTCGGACATTTCATGTCGTTTTTTATGGAAGATTTTCTTCGAGAAAAATGAATATCATTTATTCAATAGGTCACTTGTACAGTAAAGTAAGTTGTTGATATCACAATATCAACTTTATATAATTTTTATTATTTTAGACAATCATTTATGAAACCCATCAAGTAAAACTCGTTACAGAGTACATAGAGGAAACTTGTTACAGAGTACATCAAGGAAACTTGTTTTCGAGTACATCACGGAAACGTGTTACTGAGTACATGAAGGAAACTTTCAAAGACACTTGTTACTGAGTACATCAAGGAAACTTGTTACTGAGTAAACTTGTTACTGAGTACATCAAGGAAACTTGTTACTGAGTAAACTTATTACTGAGTACATCAAGGAAACTTGTTACTGAGTAAACTTGTTACTGAGTACATCAAGGAAACTTGTTACTGAGTAAACTTGTTACTGAGTACATCAAGGAAACTTGTTACTGAGTAAACTTGTTACTGAGTACATCAAGGAAACTTGTTACTGAGTAAACTTGTTACTGAGTACATCAAGGAAACTTGTAACTGAGTAAACTTGTTACTGAGTACATCAAGGAAACTTGTAACTGAGTAAACGTGTTATTGAGTACCAAGGAAACTTTAACTGAGTTACTTGTTGGTGTACATCAAAAGGAAACTTTAACTGAGGCTAAAACTTGTTACTGAGTACATTCAAGGGAACTTGTTAACTGAGTAAAATTGTTATGAGTCATCCTTGTTGTTACTAGAGATACATACACAGGAAAACTTGTTACTTGAAGTAAACTCTATTTACGAAAGTACATCAAGGAAAACTTTGTTTAATAGAGTTAACTTGTGTACTGAGGTACGATCAAGGAAACTTGTTACTGTAAACTTGTTACTGAGTACAGCTCAAGGAAACTTGTAACTGAGTAAAGCTTTGTGGTAACTGGGGTACATCAAGGAAAACCCTTGTTTACTGAGTAAAACTTATTAGCTGAGATACATCAAGGAAACTTGTAACTGAGTAAACTTGTTACTGGAAGTGACATCAAGGAAAATTGTTACTGGGAGTTAACTTGTTTACCTAGAGTACGATCAAAGGAAACTTGTAACTGAGTAATCTTGTTACTGAGTACAATCAAGGAAAATTGTAACTGAGTAAACTTATTATGAGTACATCAAAAAAAACTTTTAATGAGTAAACTTGTTACGAGTGTTCAAGGGAAAATTGTTCAAAAGTTAACTTTTTTTACTGAGTCATCAGGAAATTGTAATGATAAACTTGTTTCGGGGGACATCAAGGAAAATTGTAATGAGTAAACTTTTTGAGTGTTCAGGAAACTTGTTCCCTAGTAAACTTTTTTCTGAGTAATCAAGGAAAATTGTTACTGAGTAAAATTATTACGAGTACATCAAGGAAAAATTGTAACTGAGTAAACTTGTTCTGATAATAGGAAAATTGTAACTGAGTAAACTTGTTCGGTCTTCAAGGGAAACTTGTTAAATAGTAACTTGTTATGAGTACATCAAGGAAAATTGTAACTGAGTAAACTTTTTACTGAGTACATCAAGGAACTTTTTATGAGTTAAAATTTTTACGAAATCAGGAACTTGTAAACGGTAAATTGTTTTGAGTAATCAGGAAACTTTTTACTGAAAATTATTACTGAGTACAAGGAACTTGTAAGAGTAATTATTTTTGAGTACATCAAGGAAATTTTAAAATGAGAAAACTTGTTTCTGAGTGCTTCAAGAAATTGTTACATAGTAAAATTGTTATGAGTACAAACAATGAAATTGTAACTGAAATAAACTTTTATGGGTTTAAACAAGGAAACTTTTAACTGATAAACTTTTATGAGTACATCAAGGAAAAATTTTTTACGAGTAAACTTGTTACTGAATACATCAAAGGAAATTTTAACTGGGGTAAACTTTATGAGTACATCAAGGGAAAATTGTTTTGATAAACTTTTTTATAGTAATCAAGGAAACTTGTAACTGAGTAAACTTGTCGGGTCTCAAAAAATTGTAACGAGTAAACTTTTTACTGAGTAATCAAGGAAACTTGTAAATGAGTAAACTTATTTTGAGTACTCAAGGAAAATTGAAATAGTATTGTTACTGGTGCTTCAAGGGAAATTTTTTACAAGTTAACTTGTTACTGAGTACATCAAAAGGAAATTGTAACTGAGTAAAATTATTTTTGGGTAAAAATCAAGGAAATTGTAATGATAAAATTATTACTAAATACATAAGGAAAATTGTAATGAGTAAACTTGTTCGGTGTTTAAGGGGAAAATTGTTACAAAAAGTTAACTTGTTTTTCTGAGTACACAAGGAAATTTAACTGAGTAAACTTGTTACTGGGGAACCAGGAAAACTTGTAACTGAGAACTTATTTTGGTACTTTAAGGAACTTTTTTTCTGAGTAAACTTTTTTACTGGTAATAAGGAAAATTGTACTGAGTAAATTTTTTACTGAGGATGAAGGAAACTTGTTTAAATGAGTAACTTATTATGAGTACAAGGGAAAATTTTAACGGTAAATTATACTGAGACATCCCCAAAAAATTTAACTGATAAAATTGTTTCTGAGTGCTTCAAGGAACTTGTTACAATATTTAACTTTTTACTGGTACACAAAGGGAAATTTAACTGAGTAAACTTGTTAACGGGTGCATCAAAGGAAAATTGTAACTGAGTAAACTTATTACTGAGGGGAAATAAGGGGAAATGTAAAGAGTAAAATTTCTGAGTATTCAAAGGAAATTTTTAATGATAAACTTTTTACTGAGTGCTTAAGGAAAACTTGTTACAAAAGGGTTAAATTGTTAGAGTACTCAAGGAAAATTGTAACTGATAAACTTTTTACTGGGGACATCAAAAGGAAATTGTTGAGTAACTTATTTTGAGGGGAATCAAAAGGAACTTGTAACTTTAGTAATTTTTTACTGAGTGCTTCAAAGGGAAAATTTTTTACATAGTAAACTGTTACTGAGTCATCCCGGAAACTTGTTATGAGTAACTTTTATGAGTAATCAAGGAAATTGTAACTGATAACTTGTTAATGGGGAAATCAAGGAAATTGTAACTGAGTAAACTTTGTTTCGATGTTCAAGGAAAATTTTTACTGAGTAAAACTTGTTTCTTTTGGTCTTCAAGGAAACTTGGGTTACATAGTAAACTTATCTTTGAGTACATCAAGGAACTTGTAAAATGAGTAAACCTTTTTTATGAGTAAACTTGTTACTTTGGGGGGGTTTTCAAGGGGAATTGTTACATAGTAAACTTATTACTGAGTACATCAAGGAAAATTTTTACTGAGTAAACGTTACTGAGTACATCAAAGGGAAATTTTGTAAATGAGTAAACTTTTACTGAGTGTTCAAGGAAACTTGTTACATAGTAAAATTATTACTGAGCAATCAAAGGAAAAATTTTAACTGAGTAAACTTTTTTCTGAGTAAAATTTTTATGAGTGCTTTAAGGAAACTTGTTCATAGTAAACTTTTTACTGAGTACATCAAGGAAAATTGTAAATGAGTAAACTTGTTTTTTGATACATCAAGGAAAATTTTTTAACTGAGTAAACTTGTTATGAGTGCTTTTAAGGAAACTTGTTACTATAAACTTATTATGAGTAATCAAGGGAAAATTGTAACTGAGTAAAATTTTACTGATAAATTTTTACTTTTTGCTTCAAGGAAACTTGTTACAAAGTAAACTTATTACTGGAATCAAGGAAATTGTAAATGGTAAACTTTTTGGGTTACTGAGTCATTTCAAGGAATTTTTGTAACTGAGTAAACTGAGTGCTTCAAGAAATTTTCATTGTAAACTTTTACTGAGTAAATAAAGGAAACTTTTAAAAATGAGTAAACTTTTTACTTTAGTAAACTTGGACTAGGCTTCAAGGAAACTTTTTTAACAAGTAAATTTTTTTAATAGAATAAGGAAACTTGTAAACCCCGTTACTGAGTAAGGAAAAACTTAAATTGTTTTCTTACTGTATGGTTTCCTTTTCTTTGAGTATTTGGAATTTTACTGAGAAATTGTTAAGGGGTGCTTCAGAAAAATTTTTTCGAGAATTATTCTGAGTAATAAGGAAATTGTAACTGGTAAACTACTGAGTAATCAAAAACTTGTAATAAATTAAACTTGTTACTGAGGCTTAGAAAACTTGTTCTCAAGGAAATATAGTAAACTTGTTACTAGAGTACATTCAAGGAAACGTTGTTAACTGAGTAAACTTATTACTGAGTCATCAGGGAAACTTGTAACTGGGAGTAAAACTTGTTAACTGAGTACATGCAAAGGAAACTTTGTTTACTGAGTAAACTGTGTTTACTGAGATCTACATCAGAGGAAACTTGTTTTGGTTTTACTGAGTAAAACTTGTTTCTGAGTAAACTTGTTACTGGAGTACATCAAGGAAACTTGTAACTTGGAGTAAAACCTTAAATTACTGAGTACATCAAGGAAAAAGTGTTCTCTGAGTAACAAGGAATTGTTACTGAGTACAATCAGTGTGAAACTTGTTACTGAGTAAACTTGTTACTGAGTGTAGAACATAGAAAGGAAAGTTGTAACTGAGTAAACTTATACTTACTGAGTACGAATCAAGGAAACTTGTTACTGAGTAAACTTATTACTTGAGTACAGTCAGAGGAAACGGTTGTAACTGAGTAAACTTGTTAACTGAGTTGCATTCAAGGAAACTTGTTTACTGAGTAAACTTATTACTGAGTACATCAAGGAAACTTGTAACTGAGTAAACTTGTTACTGAGTACATCAAGGAAACTTGTTACTGAGTAAACTTGTTACTGAGTACATCAAGGAAACTTGTAACTGAGTAAACTTGTTACTGAGTACATCAAGGAAACTTGTAACTGAGTAAACTTGTTACTGAGTGCTTCAAGGAAACTTGTTACATAGTAAACTTGTTACTGAGTACATCAAGGAAACTTGTAACTGAGTAAACTTGTTACTGAGTACATCAAGGAAACTTGTAACTGAGTAAACTTGTTACTGAGTACATCAAGGAAACTTGTAACTGAGTAAACTTGTTACTGAGTGCTTCAAGGAAACTTGTAACTGAGTAAACTTATTACTGAGTACATCAAGGAAACTTGTAACTGAGTAAACTTGTTACTGGGCACATCAAGGAACGTGTTACCCAGTACTGGAAGGAAACTCGCTACTGAATACATGAAGGAAACTGCTTACTGATTACATCAAGAAAACATGTTACTGAGTACAATGCACGCCTTGTTTAGTTGCTCATTGTTCTGGTATACTTAGATCATGGAAAGCAGCGATAGAATTCATGATCATGATTATTTTAACAAGTTATATTACCCTTTTCCCGCTACACGTTTTGAATGGACTTGTCTATCTTTCGATCAGGACATAGCCATTAATCTTACTTAAGGAAAATTGTAAAAATAATTTATTAACTAAATAGCGAACAGTGCAGACCATGTTCACACGGCATGGATTGGACAGCCGATCATGGTCTGCACTGGTCGTATGGGCAGATTGTATACCCACCAACAGGCTATACGGGTCAATAAACTAAAATTGTATCATAGTTTGGAGACCTTTCTGTTGAAAATGTGCCAGGGTTAAATCGTATACATATACATGCACAGTGCGTTAACTGGAGTGCGGGTATTAGTTACCCGCACTCCAGAACATGCCCATTGATTGGCTCATTTTTGCTGTGGTTTACATATTGTGACGGAAGAGAAAGGGAAAGCGACAGAAATATCATATTCAGATGTTCGTTCATTGGTTCATTTTTGCCGGGGTTTCATATTGTGACAACAGGGAACGTATTTTTATGTTTGACTATGATACAAAAGAGAAAGAACACCAAAACACTCGGCAATCTGATTAATACTCGGGGGCTACGCCCCCTCGTACAAATCAGATAGCCTCGTGTTTCGGTGCTCTTTCTATTACTTAACATTTCTTGTACATGTATGAATATTGTTAGATTTATATTTAATTCTTACCTTATCTATAATGTCCAGAGATATCTCTTATATCTTTAAACACATGTAGAATACTATCCTTTTGTTATAGAGATAGTGTGTACCGCCCACTTTTAGGCCATCTTTGTTGACATTCTGGTATCAGTCAATTCGTTGTACAAAATCATTTATAGTTAACATAAACTTAAAGTGTACACTACCGATAATTATTGCAACGTGTTTAATCAAATTATGATAGGGCTTTGTTTTAAGGTACTGGGTAGTATCTTATTTCTGTGTCACGTGATTACAAACACTGTAAACAAGTTACAACGCCTGAATTCCTCATAGTATGTATCATAGTCAAATTTCGCATGAAAGTAATATTACAATAATTTCAAATTCATTGTTAAAATATTAGAAGGGGTATAAGCAGGAAGGTGCACGAAGAGTACTTAATATAAATAAAGTAATTATTATTTAAGGCGTAAAGGAGGTTTTAACAAAAAAAAAATAAACGCACATTCTGCCCGAATAATGACTATTTTTTATTTCTCATAAGTCTTTTTTAGTGTAGTATCATAGTTTCAAAAAATACTCATCGATTTATTAGTTTAACTATCTATTGCCTGTGTTGCTATTTGCAAATTAGTTTAAGTATTTTGTATAGAAGTGAAAATACTACTTTGTTTACATTTTTTTCACTTCTATAATAAATAATTTCGCATTTGCGAGGTACATCATATGATCTAAAATTATTATCTAATCCTAATTAAATCTCATAATACAACTTTTAAGTCGCACTAAAATTGTACATTTTAAAGCAAACCCTTATGTTGTATAATTCTTTATAAGTTCATTTTGCCGAATAATAAGAATAAAAAAACTGTAATTCACATTCGATGGATTTTTATGAATACTTTCATGTAACAAATTGAACGGAAATACCCGATGTTTCACGATTAATGTGCATGTTATGGCAGACATGTTCATGTTTTTACAATGATAAAGAATATTAAAGTATGAGAAGCTATGTAAATATGAGAATATGTTCCGGTAATTACCAGTTGAAGTGTTATCAATAATGTACTTCACGGAGATGACGAGATAATCTTTACATTACATTAACACTACATCTATAATTATGATTGGCATAAACTTGCGCGTGACAGATCAGGCAACCGTTCAACAACGGGAGCAGCGAGGAATTTTTTTCTGATTGATTGCAATTCTTTATAAAATGTATTGAAATTATTCTTCTTATTTTATCTTATTTTCACTGTTTTTTTTAAACTTCGATGCGATTGATGTGGTCTTATATATCCTCATTCATTATCATTATCATTTTTGATATCATCATCATAATCATCATCATTATTATTATTATTATTATTATTATTATTATTATTATTATTATTATTAATTATTATTATTATTATTATTATTATTATTATTATTATTATTATTATTATTATTATTATTATTATTATTATTATTATTATTATTATTATTATTATTATTATTATTATTATTATTATTATTATTATTATTATTATTATTATTATTATTATTATTATTATTATTATTATTATTATTATTATTATTATTATTATTATTATTATTATTATAATTATTATTATTATTATTATTATTATTATTATTATTATTATTATTATTATTATTATTATTATTATTATTATTATTATTATTATTATTATTTATTATTATTATTATTATTATTATTATTATTATTATTATTATTATTATTATTATTATTATTATTATTATTATTATTATTATTATTATTATTATTATTATTATAATTATTATTATTATTATTATTATTATTATTATTATTATTATTATTATTATTATTATTATTATTATTATTATTATAATTATTATTATTATTATAATTATAATTATTATTATTATTATTATTATGATTAGTATTATTATTATAATTATTATCATTATTATTATTATTTTTATTATCATTATTATTATTATAGTTATTATCATTATTATTATAATTATTATCAATATTATTATATGTATTATTATTATCATTATCATTATTATTATTATTACTGATTTATTATTATTATTGTTATTATTATTATTAATATTATTATTATTATTATTATTATTATTATTTTATTAATATTATATTATTATTATTATTATTATTATTATTATTATTATTATTATTATTATTATATTATTATCATTATTATTATTATAATTATTATTATTATTAATAATAATATATTATTATTATTATTATAATTATTATCATTATTATTATTATTAATAATAATAATAATAATGTTGGCAAGACCTGTTTCATTAAAATTTTGCTTTAATATTTAAAATAGATAAAATACATGTGTATAGACACCCTTAATAATCTTAAATCATAGCGGCTATTAGAAAAATTGTGCTCTGTTATATCTGATTTATAACATAATTCGATGATTTTCTTAAAAACGTCCACAAACTCCCGAGACCTAGCATGATACCAATTTTTATTGCGCGGGTTCACCACTGTGCTAAATTTAGAGCAACTATCTTGTCATTGATAAGGTAAGGTCACAGCCCGTCTGATAGGTGTTGTCAATTGCAATTAATAAATTTTGATGATTTTCTTAACCCACAAATATGTGACAAATTTATGACTGTTAAGTAGTCACAAGAAATCGGATATATTGTTAGTTTTAAAATAGCGACAATTTCTAACTTTCATATATAACCAATAGCAGTCAGTCTAGTATGTACATTCATGTAAAATACTAAGATTATTGTTTTTTTTTAATATAAGTACTCAGATACTGCAAATCCTTCCGTAAAAACATGACAATTTAAGTATCGAACACAGTAATAAGAGATTTATTAAAGGGACTTCACTGGAGTTTTTTTTTTGACTATTGGACTGGTTATATCTTTTTGTTTTATGCTGTGATTTAAATCATCCAGTACAGAAAGATATTTGTCAGTATATTTTATTGAAAGCGAGTCGGCAATGAAAGACATTATCGTCAAATCTACCTTAATATAAGTGGAATATTTTGTTCCGGAATATTTTATTCTGTCAACGAACATTATTCATGTATAATAAATTACATGTACCTTCTATGTATCGACCATAAGGTTATGAAAACAACATAATTTTACTGTTTTTGAGATTTTATAAGATATTTCATCAGTACATATTCAGACACATGCGCATTTTAATAACAGTTAATTTTCTGAACGTCGAATATGCCAATACCTATCGTAAACGCTTTAACACTATTTTGGTAAGAGAAGACAACTCTTGTTAGATTAGTTTTAAACTGCGACAATCATAAATATACATGCCCATGTAATATAATCGATACATCGGTCTGACTTTTGAAGTCGGAAATCTTTTAAGCAAATATCCAAGGAAGATTTGTCAATAAGATTTCACACCTACATCTCTTTGTAAAATATTTAGTTACGTGATGAGACGTTTTTATCTTTTGTATACATTGACTTGATAGTTTAAGTATTTACAATAGAAATACTAGAAGTAATCAATAAAATATTTTAGCTATGACATTTGATTTTGATTAAATGGAAGATATAAATCTGCGCAGTTCTAAATAACTAACTAAAGCTTGGTCATTCATTTTTTTTAATTTTGACTATAATGTTTATCTATCAAAATAGAAAAAAAACAAGACGGAATCCCTAAAAAGCACCCAAACGAAAGAAATTACAGGCTCGGTTTAATTGAGTCTGTTCATGGAAATCAGTGTTCAATGCATCTACTTTCAACGCCCCAAAGCTACGGTTTAAGCAGAAGTCAACAACTAAACAGGGAATTTTGAATTTATAAACATCAGAAAATGTGTTCACATGGCAGTAATGATGGAAGTGTTCTTCCTTGAAAAGCGGCGTACAGTTCCCAAGTTGTGAGCTAAACATAAACTAAAATTTTGACAGGGGAACAGAGGTTATGATCATTGTTGTATAACACAGAAAAATAGAAAAGAAAGAAATATCTAGATGAAATAAATATTCGTCTAGATTTATATTATAATATATCTCAGTGTTTTCGTCATGCCTAGGTGATAAAGAAACAAAATAACCACTTCAATATTAATTTGATTACTTAAAATTTTAATCCATTTTTACATTCTTACAAACAGTCAATGGAATAATAAGGTATTGAATATTTTCTGAGAAAAAAGATACACAAGCAACGCCGGTTTTGATTGCGGCCTTCCAGATGCAAAACACCCTGATGGACAAAACAGTGGTCTAAAGAATAAATAAGGTAGATGGTACAAGGCTTTACCTAAAACTACTGAAATAAGAATTCTAGATTTTGTTACTCTTTAAAGCAAAAATTATTATACACGACAGATGGATATACACAAGCATGTGGTCACAATGTAACACTGTATGATTTTCTTTTATTTCATTGTATGTGTGTGTGTGGGGGGGGGGCAGTTATTTATGAGTATCAAGTTCACTTTTGTGTCTTCTCGTATACTGAAAATAGGGAAAACACAAAAAACGAAAATTAGAATCAGTAGCACATTATACATCCTCTTAATAACATACACATAAAAGCGGTGAGAAAAACAGTCGAACACAAAATATAGCACGAAGTTATTACAATATCAAACTTCACAAAGGCACGTTTTACGTATTATCATTGAAACATTTCATTTTGGTGTTATTGTCGCGAAATCTCATGACATACTGGCACATTTGTGTCTGATAGAAATGAGCTGTTAAAACTGTTGTTCGTCGTGTCATGAGATTTCTCACAATCCTCATTTTTCTGTAGAACTTCAAGCATCTTAGAGCTATGCTGTTGCGCCTTTGCTCTTAACGCGGCGATGCTTTCAGTACGGACATCTGTGTCCGGCTTCTTGTCGTTATCCGAGTTCTCCTCCTCTTTCATTTTGCTGGCAGCCTCAATTGACTTTTTGTGCATACCTGGAATATATATATATATATAACAAATATTTATTTTTTGTCTTTTCATAAATGCATCAAATATGCTCTCGTCATTCTTTACCAATCAGTGAAAAGAAAGTGGTTGTCAAATTTAGATTCTATATGTTATTATAAAAAAATCAAATATTTTCATCAGATAATGTTAATGCATACCTAGAAGCCATGGTGCAGACGACTGCTCAATTCCTTTATCAGCACTCTTCACAATGGCATCCGGAAGCGGAAGTGCATGTCTTACCATCGCACCGTACAAACCATACTCCGCCATGATGCTACTTTTACCCCAAGTTTTTTCAGTCTTCCTCCATTTTGCACGGCGGTTTTGAAACCATACCTTTTAATACAAAACAATAACGTTTTTTATGAAATACGTTTTTTCATGAATACATGTTCAAAGCATAAATTTTCAAAATATGAAGATAATATTTCAAGACTATAGATAAACTAGCTTTCTCAATTCACTGTTCGTCCGTTGAAAGTGCCAATTTGTTCTTTAATATAATTAGGTGCCACTAAGTACTTTAGCTCTATTTATAAGATTTAAAATAACAGCGAGAACAAGGCAAAACTTATGTACCTGTCAATTTTATATCGTGATAAAGAACGCAGATTGGATCAACATAGACCAAACGACAAAAGTTTGGCAAATTTTCCCGCTGGGTTAGTAAATAAATGATTAAGATTACGAAAGAAACATAGTTATTTTGCCGTCATTTATCAGACCGCATACAGAACGTCATATGTTTCAAAAATGATAAAAGTTTCTTTTTCAGAAGTGCAGAGTGCGAATTTGCGGTCGAATTCGAAACGGAGGCTTCAAATCTTAGTGCAGCTTTGTTTTATCATCCGCCTAATCATCTCTTATAAACAAATCATAGTATGAAAGAAATATGAGATTTATTTCCGACAGGACTTGGAAGTTTGAATTCTAAATACTTATCGTTAAAAATTACATTCTGACATTAGGCAGAACCCGCCGACGCTAGTTGTTGTTTACTCAATGATAATATGAATTAAATAATGATAATTTTGACAGAGTACATGAATAAGTTATTAACATTGTAACAATTGATTGTCATATAATCATTTTGCTTTGAAAATAATGATTTGTACGCTCACATATACATGTATATGATCATTTCGGATTTATATAGGTCGATATTTCACAAACTTAATTGCGCAAATATCTAAACTTTCAAAACATAATTTAGTTAAAATCATAATGACGTTTGATTAAGAATAAATGTGCAATTGTAATCATTCAAGCGCTCAGATTTCTGAACCATAAATACATACTGAAACTGAATATAACGATGAATGCTCTGTAACTTTTTGTTCGTAGATACGATATTTAAATATTTAAAATGTATACGATTTTTTAATGTACATTGTATTTCAATATTAAAAAAATACCTGAATTCTGTCTTCCGGCAGGTCTATTTTTAGAGCGAGCACTTCTCTGGCATATAGATCCGGGTAATGCGCATCTTTAAACGCTTTTTCTAATTCATCTTGCTGGTACGAGGTGAAAATAGTGCTGAAATTAGGTGTTAAATTTCCTATTTTAACTTTTTTTGTAAAAACAAACGGCATAGAATTTTATAGGATAAATCTTCTAACATTTTTTTTTGCTTATTTTTCATTATGTACATAATTAAAAAGAATCAATTTGATAAATCATAGATTTTATAAGATATTGTATCATATAATATCAAACAACTTTTATTGCCCTCCTATATGTTTTTATTTCAATACAATATTAATCCCTACATGTATATGTTTGGAGCGACTTTAAAAAGCAACAAGAAATAATGTTTCAAACTCTTTAAAACGTATATTTAAAAAAAAAACTAAAGTGAACATAATCGTAGCATATGGTTCCGCTAATATATTAACAAAATCGCCTTTATGAACAATAACTATTGAACAAGACTGTTATACAAGACAACATTCAACAATATTTAACTGGACTTCATATAAAATAGCGGTTAATGCTCAAATATAGAAACACAGCGTACGTTCATCGTTATTAACGCTTCATTATCTGTACAAACTTGTCACTGATTTTAATGATGTGGACGTGACAGGCCATATTTAACAAGGTGTTCCGAAACTTGATACTGGCATTTTCCATGGAGGCAGGGTGTAGTTTGTTATTTAGTCTTAGAACACGATCGTTAATACTTCTGTCCCTCTAATACTTGTTTCTTTAAAAATAAGTTTCAACAATGCTTAAAGGAAGATGCATATTAAATTTTAAAATATTGCACGTTTGTAACGCCGTTTTTCATTAAATAATCGTGAGGTTTATATAACGTTACACGGCTGCTGTCAATTAATGAAGAAATCTCACTTTTTTCCCAAAAAAGGAAGTTTGCTGCTTTATAAATTCGTTATAAATATTCCTGACAGGTCATAGCCATATACTTATAAACAACCGTTTATATAGGGCCATATAACCTGTCAAGAATTTTTATAACTATTAAAGTATGCATCTATCCATTCATCTAGATACATATATGTGTGGCTGTTTTGTAATAAGAAATGTTATATTTCATACCGGTGACGGCGTCTCTTCTTTTTGTTTTTATTGCTCGAGTTGTTATTTTGCTCAAATTTGTCCTGCTGTTGTAAACACGGGGGTGATTCTAGACCTGGTGATACTGAAACATAAAATAATAATGTATAAAGCTATATATCTGCTGCAAAAATTGTTGTTTGAATTTAAAAAAGAAAGTGAAAACTTCCAAAATGCTGATATGAAATAAATATGGAAGTAAATTGCCTTAAAAGTGAATGGCGCATGCAGGAAGCCATTGCTAAATCGTTAATCCCCTACTTCAATAGCAGAATAATATTTTGTTTCGGAACATTTTATTCTGTTTACGTACACTATTCATCTGTTATATAAAATAGACATTCTATGTTACAACTTACAAGTCTTCGAGAATCGCCAGTAAGGTTATGAAAGCAATATAATTTTACTGTCGATAAATTTTATTATAATATTGCATAATATATATATAGCTTTATATCCTTTGTAATGAAATAAACTATTTCTATAACGGTAATGTTATTAAAGCGGTCTTCAACAGTTTAAGTTCAGAAATGATTACACAGTTTTCAATTAAGATCAATAATAATTATTACTGCAATGGAATCAAATCAATAAACTTATTCAAGAAATGATACACAATTTACACACAGGTCCCTTTAAAAGTTGATCGTTTGCCATTGAAGGTTAAAATACAAGTCTTAAAGTATTTTTTTTCTTGACATTGCCTGACTACGAGGACAATTCGCTAGGCAGGTAGGTTCACGTGACTGTTTATTATTATTTAATATTACAAATGTATTTTTTCTCATGCTTTTGTATTGTAAATATGCAAATTGGGATATATATTCACTTGAGGTGTTGACCGGCTAAGTGTTGTTCTTTTTAGCAATAAGCATTGGAATATACATGTATTTCAAAAAAACAAAAAAAGGTCTAATTTTGATTTAGTGTGTATATTTATTTTATAAAACTTAAAATCTTGTAACGTATAGCCGTTATTTTATTTACACACGATACAGGCACGTGTTTAATCTTAAATCATAACGATATTGCAGTCCGTTTGACTGGTTATGCATTAATGTCATAAACTCGATCTATCGTGCTGATTTGAAAACCATGTTGTTTAGAAAATGACTTACAGTTTCAATGATAATTTCTGACATGTATGGCGCCCTCTGTCGGAGGTCAACAACGATAGAGCTTTGAGCACTCCTATGCAATAATTCCAACGAGCGACACCTGTATATTGATTTACCTACACTTATGGATAATAGATTAATCAACTTTAGTTATTTAAGTGTTCTTAAATGGTGCTATAAAGCTTATGAAAATCTTTAATATGTAAATACAGATGACATGTTTGACAGAGATTGTGAACAGTGTTTAAATTACCCGTGAAATAGAACTCGTTTATTTAGTAATCAGAAATATGACGACTTCGTTTCCTCTATGCTACAAAATTTGTTGGAAAGAAAAAGATATCTAAAATGCCAATTAAACTTAACTTTATAAGACATCAATATATATTCGTATTAAAGATATTTCACATATATAAAGATGCTGTTCTATTTATACCGCCAAAATGGCAATTTTGAAATATGAAAGTTACATTTTCAATGCTTAAAGGAGCTCAGCTGAAATCTAAATATCTGAAAACTTGAGCTTTGATTTTTTTGAAAAGGAAAATATGCAAAATACATGAATAGTTAAAATCAAATTGAAAATTGACTTTTGTGCGATTTCATTTTCGGGTTATTTTGCGCAACTTGAATGATGATTCTAGAAGAATAATCTGATATTTCAGGCTAGACCAACATCAAATGGTACACACTATTTCAAGAACCTTAATGTAAAAAGTTATTGTAGGTCAACCGAACGCTGTACTGTTGCTTCCTATGATAATGAACTCAACATGGACAACGAGGACAACGTTGATACATAACTTCATCAAAAACATCTTTTATATAAGACTAAAACATGCAATGCAGGTAAAATATGTCTCACTCTTCATTCGTTAATTTACTAAGTAAAAATTATTATATTTGTGAAATATTTTTGCTTTGAAATTATTCAAACGTATATTCATAAATTTAGCGTGTAATATATTCGGCTGATTCGTGTTTTAAAAGTCATTTTATGGTTCTTGGTAATAATACAAGATTGCGATTTTCAATCCATTCTAGAGGAAAATGCATCTTTATCGACATCTAACGGGGACCTTAGACATAAAATGAAGAGGAATACAGTTTTAAATATCGTATTGTGTTTTCAGCAGAACAGAACATAAATATTCTGTTCTGTTCTGCGTTTTGAATAGATTATTATTGGTATATTATATTATGTATATATAAGTCTCTGTTAATTTTATGTAGAAAATGACTACATACATGAATGCAATGGTATATCATTTTTATATATATTTATAGATGAGATTGAAATAAAGACATTCATAATATTTTTGGTCGTTGTTTGTTTAACTATAGTATTTAAATGATTACAATTATTGCAACCAGGCCTATTAATTTCTGCTGATATATTCTTTTTAGTCAAGCACATACACTAGTATTGGTGAAATAACAATCCTTACAGAAGAAATAAGCTGTGCTGCTTAAAAAGTGTGTAAATCTAATAAAATAGATTGTCGTTTATTATATTATAGCATTTTATTTTTATTCATTTTATTTTATTTTATTTGCATAACAGTTTTGTTTTAAATTGCAACAATCTTTTAGTATTTTTTACGTTTTCTGAAATGTGTATGTGAAATATATTTGTAGTTGTTATAATATAAAACTATATTTCTTTATAATTATGGCGTCAAGCTTTCTACCAAAGTTTACAATTTTTATCGTATGAAAATAGAATAAATAGACTACAGTAAAACAATTACTGGTGTAAATTTTATTTTTGGTCTGGCATTAATATGATAGTTTTACCATAATTTACAACATGTTTCTCTTACAGTTGAAAATAGCAAATGTCTTTTTTTTGATAAATAGAATTATCTAAGTTTCATTTAAGGGTGCCAAAGAGTGTACTATAATTTAAGATTCGTTAAAATTTAGAACGCACTTGTTTAAAAAATATAAATCTATAATAATAATCAATAATTATAATATTTATATAAATTGTGTAGGAATGCTGCATTTTTGCATGTGTCAATGGGATGAAATAATTAATGTTGCAAAAATTATGAAAATTATTTTAATAATGTTATAAAACTCAACAATCTATATTTTAATGAACAGTGAAAAACGTTATTTGTTCCTTTAGATGAATACATGTAATGTCAAAATTATATATCAAAAAGATACACGTTGCATTTTTTTGTCGTGTTTTTCGTAATTCTTTAGAAACGGTTGTGTGCCTCGCGTAAAAATGTTAAGAATTAAATTGAGGTCCCGTGTGAGTATTTTCCCAGCAGTTACGGATAGATATAAAAAATTTGTTACGATCAAGTCATTGAAAACAAATAAATATCTTACAAGATTACATTATAGTTAAATTAGTTGGTCTAAGTCATTTTACTAAATTTTAAGTGATCAAGGTTTTAAATGTTGCGTGTCATGAAGAAGTAATGAATATGAATCTTTGGTATGTGACTGGAATAAACAGCAGAATTTAGCGTGAGGGTGAGTTATAATTACGTTTAACTTGGGTGTCATGACCGCATGACTAGTTTAAATCCACAATTTCTCACGGAATGGGCTGTTTACCATCAATTTCAAATGTCAATTTGTCCTCTAATATCAGTTTACACTAAGTTAGCAGTTTTCAGCAATTGTATCAGACTTGTGGGAATTAAGTATAATTTTTAAGCAAAATTTTCTCGCAGATTGGGAACAGCAAAAATATAAACAGTATGACACTCATGGGAAAATATTGTACAAAACAGCGTGATGTGTGCAACGGTTCTGTTCTGATCTGTTCAATTCAATTTTTTTTTAAAAATGGCCTTTTATGTTAAAATTGTTATAACTACAATTACATATAACTAATAGCAGTTAAGATATAATATATCATATATTAGAGATATTGTCAACACACTTGGCATTATACAAAATGCTTATGTTAATATCTTATTGTAAATATTATGATTTACTTATTGTATATGTTCTAAAAGTTGTTGTTCTGTTGCATTCTAATAAAAACATTATGTAAAATATCTATGTAGTAAAGCAGTCTTTATGAAAACAACAACAACAACAACAAAAATATTCTCACATAATTTCCTGAAATTGATTGATAATGAAACATAAAAATCTTCCCACAATCATATTTAAATGAAACAAATAAAAACAAAATAAAACAACAAACAGTCATTTTTTACATTACATATTAAATTAAAACAAAAAGGTAAGACTATTAATTCAGAAAGTGAGTGAAGAACAGACAATTGTAAGTTATTTGAACACTAAAGTTATATAATATTATCATTTATAACAGAAATAATAATGACAGAATCTAAAAATATTTTGAAAATTTAAATAGTATAATCTTTAATAAATAGAGTCAATTCAAGTTTATTTTATAAATACAGGATTTATTTTCACCGAGTGGTATGGTAAGAAATAAATATTTCATGAGTGGCGGTACCACGAGATGAAAAAAAAATCGTGTTCATGGAAAGAAAACTTGAATTTTCTGTTTATTATATACTTTTTCTCTTTTTTGAAAGACATCTAAAACCCTTAATGTACTAATTTTTAAATATTTCTTTTATAGATGGAACTATGAGGTTGATACAAAAAATAGAATATTGTTCCCGATTATAAAAGATTAACACACCTGATCATCGGGTCAAAATTCTTGAGGCGGGACTTAAACACCTTAATTAAAGCATACCGATGTTTAAAAACTTGTTCAGTGACAATCTAAACATATTTACACATCCTTAAGATGACTAACTGACTTTTTAATCTGTGACATGTATTGTGTGCAAATCTCACTATTGTGTAAATAACACGGGGTGCCGTCATCCGAATTTTATCCGAAACGGTGCACAGGTGATGCGCTAAATATGACAGAAAACGTGTTAGATGAATGCAAAATTAGCGCTATGTCCCAATAACGAGGTATCTTTAACGAATAAAAGACTACTTAGAA